GCCTATGTAGGTGTGTGTACACATTATTACGCATACATACACACATGCGCACACACTGACCTCCACACTTGTGCCATGGCATCCCCACACATGCATATGTAGGTGTGTGTGCACACCATTACACACACACACGATTTTTTTAGGACAAGATTCCAAGGCGAATCAGATAGGATGTGGATGATCTTTGCTGCGATCTGGAGATACAGCTGTTTGCAGATGAAGGAGGCCATGAGTGGGAGGCAGGACCCTGTGGCTCCCACCAATTCTTCTCCTTTTCAGCCCCCAGGTTAGTAGTTCTGTGGCCTTGGAGACCTGGAACCACAGGGCTCACATAGGAGTCAGAGAAAGTCTGTTCTAGATTCCAGGGAGAAGAAACATGCCAGGGGGCAGGGAATGACCAGATCCTGTCTCACAAGAAATCCCCCAAGTGTCCAAAATGGCAGTGGGGCTGACTTCTGGGGGAGGGGTCCTTACCAAGAGTCTGAGAGGACAGGCAGTGATTAAGGAAGTTTTACATAGTATGGGGTCTGAGCTAATTTGCTATGTTGGAGTTTTGGATGGTGTCCTCATAGAATTGGCAAAGACATAAAGCAGAGTGGTCAAAATACAAATATTTAGTGGACAGTACCAGCTGAGGCATAGGAAGCAGCTAGACTTGGGACCATGGACCTCAGTTACCAATAACAGTGTAGCAAGTTGCTTCTGGTGGTGTAGGAGGTCCTTCTGTCTATGTGTTGCTTTCATTGGTTTAATAAAGAAACTGCCTTGATCTTTTGATAGCACAGAACTTAGATAGGTGCAGTAGACTGAACTGAGTTCTGGGAAGAAGGGCAGTGTGGCAGATGCCATAAAGTTCCTGCCTGAGACTGACACTAGTTAGAATCTTTCCCGGTAAGCCATGACCTCATGGTGTTACACAGATTGGCAGAAATTGGTTAAATCAAAATGTGAGAGTTAGTCAATAAGAGGCTAGAACTAATGGGCCAAGCAGTGTTTAAATGAATACAGTTTCTGTGTGATTATTTCGGGAGTAAGCTAGCTGGGCGGGACAAAAGCAGGCCCACTTCTCATACAACAGAGTGGTGGCCAATGGTAAACTGACTACACGTAAAATATGAGAGAGCTTCAAAAAGAATACAGAGTTTAACACAGCGTTTTTCTGTTTGTTGGCAGCTTGTCACAGCTGCTTTAAGAGAGATTTTCCTGATTCGGCTGTAGCGGAGGGGAAAAAAAAGTGTGGTTTTAAAATGTGGCTTCCTGGGCTATGCTGCCAACATGAACTCTGGCTACGAAGCTTTTCAATGGCATTTGTGGGCCCGGGTGTTTCTGTGCCCACTCAGAGTCAGGAGGAAAGTATCTGAGATCATGCCTGTGGCTTAGCTCTTCCTGCCTGGGCAGATGGCGGGATCAGGCTTGGGCAGGTGGGAGAGCATGGCGGATTCCCACCACTATACACTGAGATGTTTCCAGGCTGCACAGTGCTCTGCATGGCAGATTTGATTGTAATGCAGATAAAGAGAGTTTATGTGCTGCATGCTCATTCCCAGAGTTAAAGTGCTGAGTGTGGCTCCTACCTGGCAGTCCCAGAGCTAGCAGAAATGGTACGTCCACCATTTTGAAATTGGAGAGAGGTGGAGCCAACATCCAGAGCAGCTGCAACCAAGCTGCTTAGCATTTTAACAGCTCTTCAAGACAGCAGAGAATTAAAAAATAATGCAATAGGACAGATTCAGACATAAAAGACCTCTAAATGGGTCACAGTTTACGTAGGCTTGAGAGAGAAGAAAAAGAGTATAGTCATAAAATAAAGTTAATGCTTTAAAAAAAGGTAAAGTCTTTAAAGAGACAGAGTACAGATAATTATAGATTAAAAGATAAGCCCTGTAAAAATGAAAAATTCACAGAGAGTCTGGATTCTGTGTATTATTGTGTTTTCTTTGAATTTTTTGACTGTAAAGGAGCTATATACAGAGAGACGTTTCATTGTATGGGCTAAGCTAAACCAGCATGGACATTATAAAGGTATAATGACTTCACAAGTTGGGTCCAAGGATGTGATGCTTTGGAAAAGAGGTTCTTCTTTTGTTTTCAGAGAGGATGAGACCCTGTGGATTCCTTCTAGACTAATATGGTATGATAGACCATGCCCTCCTGAAAGGTTGGCATAAACACCCTTCAAAAATTACTCCACCCAACTGCTGAGATGAACCTAGCACACAGGATACACCATGAAAGACCTGATTAACAGCACCCCCATACAGCACAAAGCAGTTTGGAGAGAAAAAACTATGCCCATATTCCCAAATATTGTTTATAAATGTTCTTTTACATTTAAAGAGGGATATGATATAGATATGAATAATTTGCATTGGATTTTGCTTTGTTGATATAAATTTAAGATCAATCTTGTTATCTGTACATTTTTGCTTTTGATTAAGATATTGTGATTGTGTAGTTCATTTAAAATGTAACGTATAATTAAGAAATATAGGTAAATAGATATCTATAATAGTCAAGTCTATAGTCTGTTAGTTAGATTTTCTAGATGTGCATAGATATATTTTAGGTAGGCATTCTTCATATCTTTTAAAGACTACAGAATATGGCATTTAAGATGTTTTAATAACTTAGGACTTTTCATGACAATGAGACACGTCTGCTCCTGGCAGCACCAAGCTACTTCCTGAGGAAGATGGGCATCAAATAGGCTCCTTATGGAGTTGGTTAGCCATTTGGGTAAGAAACTGCTCTTGCCTGGACTGATGCATAAACTGTACATGAAGAATCTGCAGAGAGAGGACTGCTGATCTTGCCTAAAGGTGAGATGATCCTTCAGGTTCCCGTTTCATGAAAGAGTCTGCGAGATATTCTGCAGGGCACAAAAGAAAGTGACTGAACTGTCTTTAAAATTTCCCGCTTCATGGAAATGTCTGCTGTATAATATGGGCCTGTAGGCTGAAGATGGGTGCCCCAACAGTACAGAAAAGCTTTGGGTGACTGTACAGGCAGCAAGATGTCTCTGTCAATTCTAGAGTTTTGGAATTTGTTTATAATGCACTTCCAGTTTACATAGGTAATATTATATCCTTCTGGAGTCTTTGATGTGGAGTTGAAGAATTTATAGATATAATTTTCCTTAGTTATGATAAAAGATAAAATAGATATAAATATTGTAACTGTAATTCTTGCTTGATAACTGTTTTGTTATATGTAATTTTACTATGTTAAAGTTAAAACCTTCCTTTTTGTTTAAACAGAAAAAAGGGAAATGGAGAAACCCCAACTAGCAGGCCCGCATGCTACATTCTGGTTGCCTCTGATGTGGGTGGCAAAGAAGATGGATTAGTGGGCTGTGTGGTTTCTTCATGATCTGTTTGTGCCAGATCAGGAGTGTTTGGGGGAGAAGGGAGTGTAGGGGAGTGTGTTAAAGCTGTGGAATTGCAGAGATATCCTGACTTACCAAGAAGCCGGGAAATACTTAGAGCCACAATAGGACAGCTCTGGAAGGGTAGAGCTGCAATAGGACAGTACTTCTCCTGGAGAGCCGCTGCAGATGAGCTCTTCTCTGTTCCCTTAAGGAAACAGCCTAGCAGAGCTATCAGCTTATTCAGCTTATTAGACCCAAGATGTTACTTCTTTTGCAAACACTCTGCTAAAGAGGTAGCCCCCGTAGAAATGTAACAGTCTCCTCCAGCTCCAGCTAAAAGTTGTTATTTTTTTCTGCTCTGCCTTGCTCAGCACATCTCCCCCCACCCCCAGTGAGCATCTTAGCAAGGATTTCCAGCTTAGTCCCCTACCGGATGTCCCAGCCAGGTTCTTCTATTCTGCACCAGCCAAAGAAGAACATGACCTAAGACTCTTTTGAGAAAGAGATTTATTTGGGAAGGAGGAGTCCAGGAGAGTTTCTGAGTAGCAGCCTCTTCCAGCGAGAGATAAATGGCAGCCCTTCATCGAACAGGCAGAGAGGCTTATAGGGCTTCTTAGGGGTGGCGGTTTCCCAGGGAGAAGAGGGATTGGTTAGTTTTTCCCTGCGATTGGTTAGTTTAGTTGGTCAGAGGCAGAGAAGGCTCTGACTTCATGGCCAAACTGTGTTTCTTTCTCTGGTTCTTTCTAGCTTTTTTACTCTTATCTTAGGACCAGGGCATATTTCTTTCACTGACTCTGATTCTAGGGACAATAAAATATATTTCTTTGGCACTGGTTTCAGAGTCAGGGAATGATTCTTTGGTCCTGGGTTAAGGTATGAAGATGTTTCTTTCCCTGGCTCAGGTCTCAGATACAGGGTGTGTTTCTTTCACTGGCTTTGGGTTCAGAGTCAGGGTACTCAGTGATTGGTTGGTTGGTTTCTTGCCCCAGTTGTCCCTTTTACTCTCCAGGGAGAGTGTCCACCTCACATTTCTGCTCAGGGACATTCATCCTGGAAGACTTAAGAAAAGATCTATGTCCATAGCATGAGCAGAGTCCTGGCAATCTCAGCACCACCGCAGACTTTCAAGGGCTCCAGCCTCAGACAATCACAGCAGAAGAGGAGGAAAAAGTGCTGTGCCCACGGACCCTCTAAGATGGCAAAACTGTGTCATGGTGAAAGTTGGCCAACAAGGCAACAAGTTGAGTAACGAGAAAAGGAGAAGCTGTGCGGGCAATGAATCCACACAAATCGGAAGGGCGGAGGACTAGCCCACGGGGGCTGTTTGCAGAAGGGAAATAAATGTCACACATGTAAAACATGCTGTGCTGACAAAGTTCACCGCGAAAGAAGAAGGCAGGGACGCTGAGATGAGGCGCTCCTCCCTCTCTAATTTTTTATTATATTATTTTTAAAAAATCTCTTACAGATTCACAAGTATAGACAATGAATTTGGGTGATTTTTAGTGCTATTACCCTTCCTCATCTCCCTTCCTGTTCCTACCTCTTTCTTTCTTTTACCCCCCCCCCTTTTTTTTTACAAGGTTTCTCTATGTAGCCCTGGCTGTCCTGGACCCCACTGAGTTTCTCTATGTAGTCATGGAACTCACGCTGTAGACCAGGCTGGCCTCAAACTCAGAGATCTGCCTGCCTCTGTTGGGATTAAAGGAGTGTGCCAGCAGCTCTTTCTAATGGGCCATCGCCATTCTTTTGAGTACATGTCCTCTCTCTCTCTCTGTGTGTGTGTGTGTGTGTGTGTGTGTGTGTGTGTGTGTGTCTGTCTGTCTGTCTGTCTGTCTGTCTGTCTGTCTGTCTGTGTCTGTCTGTGTTTTCCATTGCATTTAGTTAGGGTTGCTTGTCTGAATGTGAACTGAAGGCTAATTACTGGAACATGGGTAACTGACCAGCAGCCATACCCCTGAAACAAATGAAAAGCCTCCTCTCAACAAAGGCAGACTCCCTAGAGGTCCAACCCATGTCGTCAAGTAGAAGATGCCAACACGGGGTCTCTTCCCACACAAAGTGCTAAGCGTGAGTTAGGGTTGTGGGCATCAGAGCCTGAGAGGATGAGAAGACTCCATGTTGTGGGCGTGGCACTCAGCTGAGGATGGAGAGCTGGGAACAACTGTTTTCCATCTGAGCATTTACCTTGAAGCTTTCAGCCTCCTCCGTGGAGTTTAACCAGGTCTTTCTCATTTGGAAACTTGTATTTGGACGGTGTCTGGTACTCACATATTGAATAGATGCTTCTGAAGGAACAGGAGGAAAACTGAATGACCTGACTCAGAGGCCGGCCCTAAAGGGGTCAACGGAGTGGTGTGGGATTGTGATTCCTGAGGGGACAGCGGCCTTCACCAGTTAACTCCCCATTTGGTCTCACTGGGTGGAGAACCAAGACTTCAGGGACCATGACTGAGCTACACCATGGGAACCGCACTAGGAGGTGCAGAGACTTAGTCAACTGCTCCATCTGTGTTTGGGATGCACTAAGTCACTGGTTGTGTTGACTATAAAGAAAATACAGTGTGTTCTATCTGTAAGGTACAGACATTCAATATGACAGTTGCCAAATTTTATGCCGCTTGGTGAGGCTGCATTTCCCAGATAGTTGGTCAAACACATGGCTGGTGGCCCACAGACTTGGGATGACTTGTATCCTAAAGGAACTGGCACCCTAAGAAGAAACATGACCTTTCTTTGTATTTTCTACTTCCCTGGAGACCGTCAGAGGAAGAAAGGTTCAAGCAGGCACAGTAGGATGTTCTGAGAGAAGGAGAACCTGAGGGGTTCCAGAACCTCAGCTGTCCATGCTGGAGGAGTGGGGAGCAGTCTGAGGGTGAGCCCACAGTACCCCAGAGTCATAGTATGCTTCATAGAAATATTCTTTTCTAGGCTGGGAGATGGCTCAGTCGATAATATACTTATCTTCCTTTCAAGGACATGAGTTTAATCATCACAACCCATGGGGTTTTTGTGGTTAGTGTGTGTGTGTGTGTGTGTGTGTGTGTGTGTGTGTGTGTGTATGTGTGTGTGTTTTAAAGCTGAGGCACTTGTGTGTGCTCAGGATGGCAAGACAGGAAATGGAGGTGGGTAGGTCCCTGGAGTTCCCTGCTAGCTAGCCTGGCTTACTTGGCAAAGGTACGGGCCGTCGAGAGACAATGTCTCAAACAATAGTGGAATGACACCTGAATTTGTCCTCTACATACACATATGTACTACAATGTGTAAACACATACATACATACATACATACATACATACATACACACCAGAGAGAGAAAAAGAAAGAGGGGGGGATTATTTCCTATATACGGGGAGGTGTTTCTCTCTGTTCGCAGAATCAGAACTCTAGACCTTCCCCAGGCTGACTTCACCTGCCCCAGAGCACCTATGAGGTAGGTCTGTTCACCCAGAGGACCGCACTGAGCATGCTCAGGATCAGAGGAAGCTCCAGAAAGACCAGGAGGTTGAAGTAGAAGCTGCTCATCAGGAACCTGTGGGAAACGAAGGAGACAGAAAGTAAGAAGTCACCTGGCATAGAGGTCTCTGTCTTCCTTGTGTCTGTATCTCATCCTTCAATGGTCAGATAAGGACAAGCCTGGGGCGCTACTAGGATGGGCTCCCTGCCCTGGGAAGCTTTGCCTGGTGTCCCTCAGTTCCCCTTTGACCACTGTCTTCCCTGTTTGAGAAGTCCTCCTCATCTGGTCTCCATTCCAGCCAGGTTGAAGGCAACCCTGACCTTTTGACCTTGGCTTCTGCTGCATTCTTCACCCAGATGGCCCTGCCCAGCATCATCACTGTGTGGTACCTGATTCACACTTAGGAAGCTTGGGGCATCCTACGTCTAGAAATGACTGCTGGCTGCCTCTGCTCTGTCACATGAATTTGCATTAGTATTGCAGTACATCGTGTTCCTTTTATTATATCCCTTGAGACCAAAGACCCTGACAATATTGATTCCCCCCTTCTCCTCCTCTCTGTCATCCTTTTCCCCTACCCAGGTGTCCATTTTCCTCCTTGGACCGTCCTTGGTTTCTCCCTTGGCCCAGTCGGAGGCCATCCTCAGCTCATGGAAAGTGTCTACAACTGCAGGTCCTCCGTGAGTCTCAGGTCAGCACAAACGTGTCTTGGAAGGTGGAAGAGCTGCCACTCGGCAGACCATGCATCAAATGTCCTGACAGGACAGCGCTCTGTGCATGCTCCACATGCTCTTGGACTCTACATTTCTGGAGTCTCGCACCCTCTGTCTCTCCATGGCTAACCCTCCATCCACTTGCAAAACAAACTAGCAGAAATACTTCCAAAGCACCAGGAGAGAAAGAAAATTTAAAAACTCATCCTCAAGAGAAACTACAAGGTAGGAATGCTTTGAGGCATGTTTGTTTACCTGAAAATTTAATAGGCAGAAAGAACACAGTAGAAGGGAGAGAGAAAGGTATTTATAAGTTCTGAGGAAGAGCAATGACCCCTGCCTTCACTGTAGCGGGAAGCAGAAGGTTGTGGTTTAGCTGTGTCCTTGACCTGGAGACTTGACCCCAACAGGCTGGGATGGAATTATGCCGAGGTAGCTGTATGCTGCTGGGAATTGCTCTAGACACCTTCAGGAGTGACGAGCATCACTGTCACAGTGCGGTACTCAGTTTCCCACGCTCCTCTTCTGCACTTTGTAGACCCCCACACTGGCTCTTGGTAGAGTTGCATTGGAACAATGGGATTTATTTATGGGCTAGAGCCAGAAGGTGGTTAGAGAGGGATCTCTTCTAATTCAGAGGAGACTCAACTGTGGCTCTCTGTCCTGCTCTGTGGGGAACACATGCGGGAGACACCAAGGTTCAGGCTCAGTCTCTTCTACCACCCAGATGAAGATGCTGTCTTCCTGCAGCTGAGGCTTAGAGGGGAAGTCTTGGTAGACTAAAAGGTAAAAGGGTTGGGGAGCCCACCTCAGACTTTGTCATGAGAATACAGTCACCTGAGTGTCTCTATAAGATAGTTACTGAATCCAGCAAATAAAATTACAAAATGACCAGGCCAATCTGGTATTCCGATAAGAGACTTTTTAAAAGTTATTAATATAGCCATGTAATGCTAGGATAAATTAGGCTAGAAATTAACTGTTTTCATGGGTCCTAGGAGTCCTGGGCATCTTGAGTTTTGTCTGGAAGCCCTCCCCAGGCAAGAGGCCATAGGATACCCCATTGGGAAAGAGATGCCAGGGTCCAGCTCTGCTTACCAGGTGAGGGTGCTGGTTTGAGTCTCTCCATGGTTGGCAATGCTCTCGGTGGTTGACGGTGTGGATGTCAGAACTGGAGCCATGGTTGTTAATATTACAGTTGTAATTTCTGGGGCTAAAGATATAAACATAAACAAGGGTCACTGCTCCTGAGGTCAGCCCAGCTCTAGGCATGGCCTAAAGCTTTTCTCACTAGGAATTAAACAGCTTTCTCTGCAGTCACCATCCAAAGCTTTACACTAAGTCCTTCCTAAAGAAAGATGATGTACAGGGCAGAGCAGCAGCCCCCCCCCTTCGACACTCGCTTCCTCGGGGCTCGCTCATTGCTGTCTGTTGTGCACTAAGCAGAACTTCAGTTTTGCATGTTTCATCTATTTTTTAAAAATCTTTATTTATATGTGGATGGGTGTTTGCTTGCCCATGCCTATGTGTACCATGTGCTTGCGGTGACCATGGAGACCAGAAGAGGCCATCAGATCCCCTGGGACTGGAGTTGAAGATGACTGTGAGTTTCTCTAAGATGTTGAGCACTGAACCCAGTTCTGGAAAAGTACCCAGTGCTCTTAACCACTGAGCCGTCTCTCCACCCCAATTTTGTCTATTTTCTTGATTGTAGTTGTTTAAACTAATCTGATCCTTAACTCTATCTTAACCAGAAATGGAGTGAGTTTCTGTGGTTTCCTTTATTATTTATTGTTAAAGGGGTAGAGGTTGGGGGTGTGTGTCTCAGGATGGGAGTTTAGCTCAGTGGTAGAGTGCTTGGCTAGCACACATGAGGCTCTGAGTTCAATTCCCAGATCTGTACAAGGAGAACATGCAAGGCACACATGTGGGGGCGGGAAGACAAGGCCTCCCCACCTCACCTTGTATCCCGGTAGAAAACAGGACCAATAGAGTAAAGTGTGTTTACTTTCTCCAGTCAGATTTTACAGCAATGAGTTCAAGGTCCCTGAATCCTCACACCAGCCATGATATTCTGGAATTTTTTTTTCTTACCTAGGCCAATAGTCACATTAACTTTAAAACAGGGATCATATCCAGTTCTCTCTCTCAATTGCACACCAGTAAATGCCGGTGTCGCTTATCCTCAGCTCCTCCATGGTCACTGTCACGATGAAGTCTGTCTGGTCATCCCTGATAGACACTCGGTCCATCTTCACCGACTTCTCCGATGTATCAGTTTTAACCAGAGTCTCACATGCGCTCCAATCAGCTCCTCGGCACCAGTACTTCTTGTAAGTCTTCCAGGAGGAATCATATGGGCACCGCACAGTCAAGGAGCCCTGCTCCTGACCGCTCACCATGTCTGGACCTGTGATTGCATCCTGAGCAGTGGAGCAGCCTGGAAAATATAAACTCATGAACCACTGATCTCCCACTCCAAGGGGAGAGCACAGTGCCAATTCCAAAGAGAGACACAACTCAGCAGCAACAATCATGGAAGGGCTACCCCTTTCCCAAGATCATTCTCTTGGTCAAGTTCTCAACACTTGGCAGAAGAGCCTAGTTAGGGGTCTCAGAAGCTAAAATGGTGACACTGAGCAATCACAGCTTCCTGTCATCCTCCCCTCTTCATGCCGTAATGCCCAATAAAAGTAATTTCAAAGGATCTTTTTTGCAACCATCTTTGTGTTTCCATGGAGGAAACACAGGACGTGATCCTGCCTTCATTTCAGTACCCATGACCCTCAGGAGGTCCATCTGAAGAACCACATCCTATGGCCATGCAGAGGCCACCTCAGGTAGTCCACAGTCTCTACGGGTTCTGTAGGGGACCACCCTGGATGAATGCCTTGGAAGTTGACTTAAATGACAACAATTAGTCTGATCTCCGTATGGTACAGAGCCCACAGCACACAGACCCTGTTCTCTCTTTCAGATCCATGTAAATCTGAGTTCCAAAGCTCCCAGTAAGGGCTGCAGATGCAGCTCAGTAGGTGGGGAGCTTACATAGCATGCAGAACACCAACCAATAACAAAAACCTGCTTAAAATGTTAAAAGAAGAGCTTCAGAGTATTGGCTTCAACATCAACAACATATGTTCCCAATGGCACAAGTAAAAAAAGCAAAATTTGCTAAATGTAATTATTTCAAACTAAAAGGACTCCACCAACAGAGCGAAGAGACACCCTCCAACAGGGGAGAACATCTTTTCAGACTTTGCATCTGACAGGAGATCAATTTCCAGACTATATGAGCACGAATTCAGCTCAAAGAGTCTAACAGCAATCATAATCCTATTGAAAATGATCTGCTGAGGGCTGTGGAGATGGGGTAGTCAACGAAACGCCTGCCGTGTAAGCCTAGGCATGAAGAACCTGAGTCTGTGTCCCCAGCATTCATGTACAAAGTCAGGAGTGCTGTCGTGTCCCCGCAGCCCAACAGAGGTGGTCAGAGGAGACGGGGGATCCTGAAAACTTCATGGCCATCCAAGACAGCTTCAGTTTCAGTGAGGAACCATATGTCAAAAGATAAAGGTGGGAGTAGGGCATGATGGTACATGCTTCAATTGCAGCATCCAGGAGGCAGAGGCAGGCAGACCTCTGTGAGTTCAAGGCCAGCCTTGTTTACATAAAGAGTTGTAGGCCAGCCAGAGCAATGCAGTGAAACCCTATGTCAAAAACAAAGTTATATTTTAAAAAAGGTGGGGAGCAATTAAAGAATGACACCCAGTTTCTTGACCTCAGGCTTTCGTATGCGTGCATACCCGTGTGCAGGTGTGCCTGCAAGCACGCATGCTCACACTCACACACACATGAGCAATAAATGGAGCACACAGTTCTCAAAAGATCTTGTCTATTTCCCCTTTCCAGGGGGATCTATGTATGTGTCTCTTAGGGTTCTTCCTGTTACTTAGCTTCTCTGGGGTCGTGGACTATAGACTTGTTGTCCTTTGCTTTCCAGCTAATATCCACTTGTGAGTTTGTACATACCATGCTCATCTTTCTGGATCTGGGTTACCTCACTCAGGATGGTTTTTTTTTCTAGTTTCATCCATTTGCATGCAAATTTCAAGATGTCTTTGTTTTTTACCACTGAATAGTACTCCATTGTAAAATGTGGCACATTTTCTTTATCTATTCATCGATTGAGGGCCCGCTTGTTTGTCCTGTCTGCCTGGCTACCTTAGCCCCGAAACAACCACACAGAAACTATATTAATTAAATAACTGCTTGGCCCATTAACTCTAACTTCTTATTGGCTAACTCTTACATATTAGTTTAACCCATTTCTATTAATCTGTGTATCACCACGTGGTAGTGGCTTACCAGGTAAAATTGTAACCACCGTCCATCTCAGGCAGAGAGGATCCATAGCTTCTCTCCCTGACTCTGTTTCTTTCTTCCAGAATTCCGTTCTGTTCCCCGCCCCGCCCGCCTAGCTCTGTTCCCCTATAGCTCTGCTATAGGCCCAAAGAAGTTCCTTTATTAACCAATGAGAGCAACGAATAGACAGAAGGACCTCCTACACCATATGTGTACCCACACATATGTACCTGAACACACACATACAGACATGCATTCACCTCACAGACATACTTTTTTCAAAAGGAGGAAAAGTTGACTTCAGAGAAGTAGTGAACAGAATAGAGAATAGAGAAGACGTCAGATGCTTCTAGTACAGAGAAATGGCAAATGCTTGTGACAGAAGCCAGCTACCATGATCTGACTGCCACATTCTGTACACACAAGTGCAAATGCCACATGGTACTGTAGTGATATTTTATTGTATTTTAATGAATAAAGCTTGCATGAAGGTCAGAAAAGCAAAACAGCCAGCCACTGGCTCTTACCTCTATCTCAGTCTGTAATGGCGATCCTGTTTTCAAAAATCCTCAGAATGAGACTGTGTCTGAGAGTTGTCTCCTCCAGTCTTATATTCCTCTCTAGGGCTGGGATTAAGGGCGTGCACCACTACTGCCCAGTTTCTATGGCAAACTAGTGTGTCTACTGGGATTAAAGGTGTGTGTCACCTTCCCCTGGTCTGTAAGGCTGACCAGTGGGGCTGTTTTACTCTCTGATCTTCAGGGAAACTTTATTCATTAAAATATAAATGAAGTATCACTACATTGCACTCTATCAGTTTCTTTTGCTTTTTGAGACAGGTCTCCCTATGTAGACCAGACTATCCTTGAACTCACTGTGCCGTCTTAAAGCCCCAGCTACTTACCTGTGAGGAAGAGGAGCAGCGCAGGGAGCAGCCACATGATCCTGTCTTCTCTGCTGTCCTTGGTGGTGACAGAACACCCTGCAAGGATTTGAAGCTCAGCTTGAATTTTCTTTAAATCATTCACTTCCTTAACAATTTCTCAATTTTGCATATTTTAAAAAAGAGGATTTGAAAAGACCGAGTCCTTGCATGTGCACAGCTGGGTGAGTGGAGAACTTCCTCCACTAGACAGATGCTATGATAGATGTGAACTTGAAAGATGGGTGGGACTCCCGAGGGGAGACGCAGATAGACAGGACAGCAGTGGCAGATAAAAAAATACAGAATGCAGCAAACTCCTCCTCTCATCTGGGACATGAGTGACTTGCAGGGGATCATGGGAGAGGAGAGTAGTCAAAGACAGAGTGGCTGCAGTAGCAAGGGAGGAGTGCAGGGTATCCCGGGCTAAGCCCAGGATGGTGGGAAGTGCGGCTAAAGGCTCAGCCTGGGGCAGCGCTGCTATGAACGCCAGAGCAGGGATTTCTCCAGCCAGGGACACCTGTCTCAACACTACTAGAGCCCCAAGTGCTGGTTCCAAGAAAGAGGTTTGAGACAAGGTCTCATGTAACTAAATCTGGCCTTGAACTTCTTCCACCACCAAGCTCAGTTTTATGAAGGTCTGAATACTGAAGGTTTCAAGCACTCTACCAAGTGAGCTGAATCTACAACCCCTTTTTGGTTTTTCTAAGACAGAGTTTTGCTGTATAGTCCAAGTTGACTACAGACTCTCTCTCTCTCTCTCTCTCTCTCTCTCTCTCTCTCTCTCTCTCTCTCTCTCTC